GGGGACGGGGTCCGCTTCCCGGGCGGGGGCGTGTACGTGTTCCAGAAGCAGACGGAGGTGGTGGTTGCACAACATTGCGAATGTACGAAACGTACTAAATGTCCCTGAGTTGTGCACTTTGAACGGGTGAGTTTTTGTGTTGTGAGTATGGAGGTCAGGTTCACAAAGGCACACGAGGGAGAAGAGCCCTTGTCCCCTGGCGGCTGCTCAGCTCTGGGTTCCCTGGGCTGTGACGGTCGCTCCAAGCCACCTTGCACGTCTGCCCACCTGCTCCCTGCCGTGCTCCCCTCCAAGGGATTCATCCTCCCCCTGCTCTGGAGACCAGAAATCTGAGATCCAGGCGGGGCAGGGCCGCTGAGATCCAGGCGGGGCAGGGCCGCTGAGATCCAGGCGGGGCAGGGCCCCCTCCGAAGGCTCCAGGGGAGGGTCCTCCCTGCCTCTTCCAGCTTCTGGGGCTCCAGGCGTCCCTGGGCTCATGGCCGTGTCCCTCCCATCTCTGCCTCTGTCCTCACGTGGCTTCTCCTCTGTGTCTGTCTCCTCTTCTGTGTCTATAGGGACACCTGTCCTTGGATATAGAGGGCCACCCCGATCCAGGATGAGCTCTTCTCAGATCCGTAACTAATCACACCTGCTCTGTACCCACAGGCTCCAGAGGTTCCCGCTTGGACATAATTTTCAGGCTCCCCCCCTTCCAATTCAAACCCACGCACCTTCCTTTGCGAAATGCCGTTCCCACCCATAAGCGGCAGGTGATCGCGCTGGACGAGAGGGTGCAGCATGGCGGGCGCGAGCCCGAACCCCTGCAGCCTCAGCCCCAGCGGGGAGCGGGGAGCGGTCAGCTGGGCTTGACGGCGCGGCAGCCGCGGACAGATGAGGGGGATGTGCAGGAAGTGCCCGGAAAGCTGCGACGGCAGTGGTTGCTGTCACCATGTTTCCTGCTTTGTCCTCATCGTGTGCCCAGACAGCTCCCAGGGAGCCTGCCGCGTGCAGGGACCTGGGCACAAACAGGCCGACTCCCGGGCTTCATGCTGAAGCCGATGCTCGCGGGAAGCAGGGCGTCCTGCACAGGAACTAGACCTGGCCAGACAGACGGTCCTTCCGCAGACCCTCTGGGTCCCCGTGCATCCCAGCCATGGCCCCTGGGCTCCAACAGAACCCAGGTCTGACCACAGCTTCCTGCACGCAGCCGCACTCTGCCCCCACAGTCACTCCTGGCTGACCTCCTTGGCCACCCGAGGTTGCCCACAAAACCCAGTTCTGACCACAATGAGGAAGTCGGCAGCAGGGATGCTGACCAAGAGGCTGCTTTCCTACCATGAGGCCGGACCTCAAAGGAGGGCGGGCTGGCACAGCTCTTTTCCTTCTCCCGCCCTGGGTGCAGACGTGACGCCTGGTGCTGTGGCAGCCACTTTGTACCATGAGGCAACGGGGGGGTGGTGGGGGGAAGGCTGCTAATTTACCAAGAAGGGTGGTGGAAAAGGATGAAAAGAGAGGGGTCCTCGATGACATCATGAAGCTGTCCACTCCACCCTGGAGGGCTTGTCTCTAGATTTTTTATTAAGTAAAAAATAATAATAATAATAATAACGGGCTCGTGGATACCCCCCTGAGCTTTCCAGACTTTCTGCTGGAAGCCTTCTTAACGAGTCATTCTTCGTTCAGTTTTTTTTTTTTTTTTTTTCCAGCCCTCACTTGAGTATTGCACCTGGGTGTGAAGGCCCCTCTCAGTGGCCGAGGAGATGGGGTCTCCTGCGTCCACTTAGGATCTGAGACACAGTACATGTCTAGAGACAATTTCAGCTTTCGGAAGGCACTGTGGGGTGTGTGCTTGTCCTGGAGACGCATGAGGGCACTAGGTCCCTGCCCTTCTGTCTGGGGTGCCAGGGATTGAAACGTGAGTCCCGTACAAGACACTCGAGTGTCCTACAAGGCACGGAAGGAGCTTTGTCAACCCCACTTTGTTTCCCTCTGAGAGAAACTGTCACCCGGAAGGACCAGGTGCTCCCGGCGACTCCACCCCAGGCGCGAGAGCAGGTAAATGTGCCCCGGCCCGAGGACGGGTTTTCTCTGATCCCCCCTCAGTCACACTTCCCTCCTGCACCTCCCTGTGTCCCACACTGTGCGTGGGCACCTTCTAGGGGCTGGCAGGCCCAGGGGCTGCTTCCGGGGGCTTGCACGCTGGGGACAGGAGGCTGTGCGTAAGAAAATGTCTGTGCCGTTGGCGGGTCAGGGGAGCCATACGACCGACATGACCGCCCCCTTAGCAGGTGCGAGTGCCCAGCTGGGGCTTGGGGGTCTTGGGGTGGAATCTCCCATGAGAAGGGAACTCATGACTTTGAAAGGAACCGGGCTGGGGCCCACCGGGCCCGAGCCCGGCCTCTCTGTCCCCAGCTGGGGGCCTTGGGAGGGCAGCCAAGGGACCTATGCATCCAGGCCAGACCTTAACGGGGGCTCGGATGACGTGCAGCCTGATTTCCCAGGGCCTCAGCTGCTATTTCGGGTCCTGCTCTCCCTGCGGGACCTGCAGATTCTGCTAAGTCACTCAGAATCCGTTCCTGGCTCCCCAGGGCACATCCGGTCCCTCTCGCTTCCTTGGAACCAACCCCAAACAAGCCAGCTTCAGGGACTCAGTTGGTCTGTGTGCGGCTGGTCCCTGGGCAGATGAATTTGACATTTCTGGGGCCTAGGACACCTTTCAGACCCTGTGAAGGAGATGAGTCCCTTTCCGTGCAAGGTACACCAACACCTAGCACGACCACCACAATATGCATCGACAGCCAGCCTCAACTTACAAAGCTTTATGCCCAGGGTCCTCACTGGTCCACCCTGAGGTCAACCACGTGCATGGGTGGGGGGGGCACAGAGCAGGGCTCAAAAACTCAGCCCTCAGGCCTGATCTGGCCCCCACCTTGCTCTTGTAAATAAAGTTTTATTGGAACACTTCTGTGCCCATTTGGTTCCACAGCGCCTCTGGCCACTCTCATGACAGCCGCAGAGTCCAGGGAGCTCAACGGATGCCGAGTGGACCTCGAAGCTTAAATATTTAGCATCTTCTTCCTTACAGCCAGAGGGTTGCAACCCTGAGCTACAGCTGCATGTTCACAAAGACGTCTCGACTCCAGGACACGGCCTTGGATGCATTCAGTCAATGAGGACAGATCTGGCAGAGACGTATTCACCTCATCCTTTAAAAAACTTAACTCTTGCCGTGGGATTGTTTTATGATTGGCCACTGCAACCTGCCCCCTTTGGAACTGACAGGACAGTGGGTGCAGGTGAATCCCACCTGCTCTGCTTCAAGATGAGAGAACTTACGTCAGGAAGATCAAGGTACAGTGAGTCACGCAGAGTGCTACAGATCGTATCCACCCAGTAGGGCCCTACAGATCCAGGATCTAATAGATCCTATTGATAAAGATCCCATTTATAAATATCACCATCCCCCAGCAGTCCAGCAGCCTGGACTCTCGAATGGCGACCATCAGCGGTGTTGTGGGAGAGATGTGCCCACCCCTTCTGCAACATGTCAGGGCCTCATCCTCTGTGTGGGGCCGACCCCTCCTTCGTGAGTGTGCACTTCCAAAATAGGAGCACCACAGTCTATAGAGGCATAACGTACATAAGTGGATCTATAGAAGGATGGATACGTGGGTAATAGTTATAGATAAATAGATAGATGATAGATAGATTGATAGGTATATATGATGGATGGCTGGATGGATGGATATGATTGATAGACACATAGTTATGATGGAAGTTGGATAAATATCGATAGGTATTGATATATAGATAGATATTAATAGATTAATAGGTATAGCTAAATATTGATAGATATTAATAGTATAAATTATCGATACAGATGGATACACAGATGATAGAATTCATACGGAGATTAAGAGGACAGGTAGAATTAGATGAACGGTCGATAGGTAATAGATGGCCGATACTTGGATAATACATAGATGCCCAGAAATATGTGAGATGATAGCATAGTCCAGATAATGTCAGATAGATACAGTCCACAGATCATATATCAACAATAGATAGATGACAGATACGTTCAGATAAATGGAAAGTCGATAGAACGCAGATCGATGGTAACCCTGCACTTCCCCGTGGAAGAGTGGCCCCGTGACACCATCACCAGGTCCCCAGAAGTGACTCACCGTCCACAAGACACAGGTGCGGGAGCTCAGAGCTCGATTCCCTGGTATGTCTTTCCGGCAGCTTCCGCATCTCTCCCGCCCCCGAATTCCCGGGGTGAATTCGCGTTGCGGAAACGTCTGCCTCTGCCCTGCAGCTCCCCGCCGCTCCCCGCCTCTGTGGACGCCGACCGCCCCCCCCCCCAACCGTGGGACGTGCAGGGAGTGAGCCGGGAGCCCCCCAAAGGCGGGCGTGGCCATCCCTGCCCCGCAGCCGGGCCGTTCTGACCACACACCAAAAGATGTCGCAGTGCACACAGCTTTAAGACCGCAAAAGGAAATATGTTCTGCTAGCAGTTTTTTCTCACTTTTTTTTAAAAAAAAAAAAAAAAAAAAAAAAACAGGAATTCGCTCTGTCTGGGTGGGAGGGCACGCTTGCTTCTCCGTCTCTAAGTCAGGAGGATTGTCCTCGTTCCCCGCCCGCGAGCAGGGGATTGCGTCCTGCGGGCGACACTCGCCGGGTGGCAGGGTCTCCCCGTGGCCTATCGAAAGCAGCCGTGAGGTCGAGGCTGTGAGGCGGGAACCCCGCCTCAGGCAGGGCGGCGGGTGAGCCTCATAGGAGGTGGGGGGCCCCATGGGCTCGGCCCTCGACAGAGCCAGCAAGCGAGCAGACGGTTACTTACACAGGAAATTTCAACACGAGTTTCCTCTCTACCCACCCTGCCTCCCAACTGTGGCTGCCGGCTCAGAGGTGGACCCCAGCGAATTTGCATTTTGCAACGGCCATGCCCCCGTGAGACCTGCCGGGGCAGGACGGGGCGGCCACGGATCACTCAGGGCACCTCTGTCGGCCGGGCCGCCGGCTTTTGCAAAATGAGGACCGCGGGCTTCCCCACACCAGACGCTGAGGCACCACAGTGGGCGGCCGTCTGAGACTTCAGGTGAGCGCTCTGCCCTGCCCTGCGTCCCTGCATATTGTTGGGAATCCCGGAGGTCCGGCGGGGACAGGGTCTCAGCGGTGCCGACGTGGGCGAAAGGCGGTGGTGCACAGCCAGCCCAGCAAACCCCCCGAGAGAGTGTGCAGAGCCGCCTAGCCGGGAAACCTTCCTGCAAACACTCATCCGGTACAAGGCACCTGTGCCAGCCGAGCAGAGCCCCGCATTGGGCGGGCGGTTGGGGCCGCCACAGGGGCAGCCAACGCAGGGGTCCTTGAACGGGGGGCCAGGGAGGCCCTGAGACCCCCCCCAGACGAGCTCAGGGTGCCGGATCCTGTAAAACCGCGGGGCGTTTGAGCCTGTGCCAAGCTGCCCCCCAGCAGCGTCTGGGGAGAAGGGGGCTCGCGGCTGGAGCGCCGGTTGGCCTTCACTAGGGGTCAGTCACACTGGGTCACGAGGAGGCGGAACCCCAGGCCACGTGCTCCTGCGCCCACACCAAAGACCGTTTCCCGGGGCCCTTGTCCTGTCGGCGCCGTGCGGATGGTACGGGCGGGGCCCTCGCGCCGGGGGCTGGGAAAGCGCACCGCCCCGGGAAGAAGCCCGTGGCTGTGGTGGGAATGGTGCCCGCGGGGCCGGACGTTCTCGGATGTTTCCATGCTGGAGGAAAGGCAGGGCGTCGGGGCACGGCCGGTGCCAGCGTCGGGGCAGGGAGGGGGGTGTGTCCGTGGGAAGGCGGCCCCCAAATCCTGGTGATCGGGTCTGGGGAGGCAGATGGGACCCAGGTCCCCGGAGGAGTCAGGAGGACGGATGTGAGCCTCCGGAGGGTGCTTGGAGAAGCGTATGTGGGTCCGCTTGCCGTGGGAAATATCCCCGCTCAGCCACACCCCAGGGAGGCGGGCAGGGCCGCTGGACCCTGTGCAAGGCTCAGGGGGGACCCCCGACCCAAGCACACCCTGTGTTGCCATGTTCAGGACAGGTGGACATGGAGAAAGGGATGGTTGGTGACAGGGTAGCAACGCACAGTGCTAAACGCCGACCACCGCCCGCCTGGAGATGCCCCGCGACCGCACAGACGAGCCCTTCCACCAACCCCCCTCCTGGGGGTGTTGCTCCGGGTCCAGCCCCTCCGTCTGCATCTCCTCCTTGCTGTCACCAGCGGCGGGCAAGGCACCACGGCTGGGACCCCCCCTTTCACATCCCCCTTCATGTCCCTGGAGGCAATGGGGTAGGCGGGCAGGATACGGGGACCCAACGTGCACCTGCCACCTCGCTCTGCTTCCCCAACTGAGGACGGGGCCCCCAGGAGGGGACCCACACCTGTCACGGCCCCTCTCGTCTTCTCCCCAGGGCCAGCAACACCACAGGGAATCATGACCCTGTGTCCAAGCTCAGGGAGCAGCTTCAGGGACGTCCCCAGGGACAGCGCTGGGCTGCCCCCAGCCGTGTGTGTCCGTACGCTCGTCAGCCACACGGACGGACGCGGGGTGCGCCTTCTCTGTGGAGCAGTGAACGGATCCCGCAACTGTGTGTGCTCCTGAGCCAAGCCGGGATCTACGGGGTGGGGGAGGACTGCATCCCCATTATTTCCCCTGCTCCACATGCGGAGACCGAGGCCGGAAGAGGCCAAGGAGGTCACCCAAGCGCACCAGACCCAGGCTTTCTGCCTCCAGAGCCCCTCAGCTTACCCCACTGCCCGACCGCTAGCCTGCCATCCCATTGATCCAGGCATTGAAAAAGTCATCACGTACCGGGCTCAGTGCTGAGTGTTTCTGGGAGTGGGGGGGGGGAGGGGGGAATTCAAAATATTGAGCTGCAGACCTGGGCTGCAGGTTGCAAGGATTCGGGGTGGGAAGAAATCGGGGAGGGCTTCCTGGCAGAAGTGGGGCTCGCCAGATCAATGTGGCACCAAAGATGTTGTGAGTGGGAGCAGGGGCAGGGATGGGCTCTGTGTGTTCTGGGTGTGGCTGGGGACGACCCCAGGAAGAGAGTGACATGGTAGCACCCAGCCCAGAAAAGCCACGGAAGCTTCCGGCACTGCTGAGAGTTGTGGAGCTGAGCTTTACAAAGAGATCGGGTTGGGGGTCCCGTTCTGAGCGCCGGGATGAGAGCCGGGTGTGCCCGAGGAGACAACACCACACAGGTGGGATCTGTGCTTTGCTAGCAGATGACAGGGGCTGGACCAGAGGGGAGGCCGTCCCCTGTGACTCCCAATGGCTGAGAGGCGGGGAGGCATGGACCAACGCAGGACCATGCTGTCTGTTGAAGGTGGTGCTCTTTGTGCAGCCGCTGGTGCTGGCCGGACCCCCAGAGAGGCTCAGGAACGGGTGCTGGGCTGATTGCAGGGACCCTGGGTGACCTCGATATTGTTTACGGGCGGACCCCTGACAGAGAGAGGGGCTGTGGGAAGACAGGGGCAAGGGGGT